CATGCTCTCCTCTCGCTCCAGCTCCAGAGCTCCTTCGGTTTCTCTCCCCCTCCTCTGCCTGCCTCCTTCGTCATCCTCCTCCTCATCATCATCTTCTTCCTCCACATCTGCTCCCACCTCACTGGGATTGTAGTTCTTCTCTGACTCCAGGTAGGAGGCGCGGGGGTCGAAGTCGGTGGCCATGTGCTTCTCCATCTGGTCGGGGTTCTGGGCTTTCATGATGAGCTTGTAGGTCTTCCCTTGGTATTTGGAGAGGAGGTGGCACCAGGTGGCACCCATCAAGGGTAAGGTGGCCAGAACCAGCAAGAAGATGCTCACCACCACAATGATGATGAGGGAGGGGATCTCTTTTTTGGTAGTGAAGACCACTTGGACTTGGCAGTCCTCCCCCGGGTAGGTGAGACACACGGAGTAGTTAGTGCCGGGGTTCAAACCCTGGAACCAGTACGAGTTCACCCCTTCCTCAATCTTGGACCACTGGACCAACGCGTGGCCCTGGCTGCTCTCCTGGCACAAGTAGAGCATCCTGAGGTGGACCTTCTCGGGCTGCACGTAGGTGGGTGTGAGCTGCACGCGGGCGTCGCGCTCCGACACATCTAAAGCTATCACCCCCAGGTCGAACGTGTGCTGCTTGAAGTCGCCGCTCTGGTTGAAGGCGTGGTTGGAGATGTACTTGCTGGTTTGCGCAGAGCCACACTTCTTCTCAAAGGGTGGAAGCTGGAAAGGGACTTGCCCGTCTCCTGTGGACTCTGTCCCAGCTGCCAAGGACGGTTGGCTCTGCCGGGTGGGACCAAGGGCTTTGTTCCTCTCATCCGGCATGAGCACACTGTTCTTTGCTCCCTTGGCCCCAGGCTTCTTGTCACCTGGCTGTGCTTTACCCCCCAGTGCATCCCTCCCTGGCTGCAGCGGGTATTTCTGGGTGCCCGCCACGGCCACATTAACCGAGGTCTGGTTGCTCCCCATTTCGTTGGTGGCCAGGCAGGTGTAGGTGCCTTCTTCCCTCTTGCTCAGGTGGGGAATCACCAACGTGCCATTCTTGAAGACCAAGAAGCGCTCGGGGTCCTGTTTGGGGAGATCCTTCCCAGTGCTTTCCTTCGGGTTCCCGTTGAGCTCCAGGGTTTGACTGGAAGTGCGGATCTTCCAGCTCACTTCTGGCGGTGGGGTGCCCACCACGGCACAGTGCAGCGTCAGGGTGAAGCCATCAAAAAGCTCCGTGGTGTCCAGGTTGGGGTAATAAGTCAGCTGCACGGTAGGCGAGGTGCACTGCACGTCCGGGATCTTCCCCACCGGCACTCCTCGGAGCTGCTCCGGCAGGGCACAAGCGATGGAATCCTTCTCAGGGATAGAGATGAGCGTGCTGACCATCCATTTCTTCAACCACTGGAGCTTGCAGGAGCACTCAAAGGGGTTGTTGTAGATCTGGAGGTGGGAGAGGGAACTGAGTGAGTCGAAGATACCCTCCGCGAGGGTGGTGAACTTGTTGTTGTTGATGCGGAGGGACCGGAGGTCCTTCAGGGTGTGGAAAGCCCCCTGAGGCACCAGAGCCATGTGGTTATTGTTCATCTTGAGCAGCTGGAGAGCGCTGAGGTTGTAGAGGTCCTGCCAAGGGAAGTCCACGATCTGGTTGTGGCTGATGTCCAGGTTTTTCAGCTGCACCAGGATGGCAAAAGTACCGGGCTCGATGGAGCGGATCTCATTGTGCGGGTCTGGGGTCCCCTCCGCTAAGGCCCGCCGCTGCAACGAGGTGATCTTGTTGGCCGAGAGGCTGAGGGTGGTCACGTTGGAGGGCAACCCCGTGGGCACCACTTGGAGATCCTTGTAGGCGCAGTCGGCGAACTGATGGGCATACTTGTCCACGCAAGCGCAGGGCTCGGGGCACGCCCGCGCCAAGCACAGCAGGGCCACCCAGCCACAGGGACACCAGCGGGGCCATCTTCCCCTGCCAAGGGACATAGGGGGCTCTCAGGGTTCCCATGCCCTCTCCCGGCCCCAGTCCCCACCCGGCGAGAGGTGGTGGTGGTGGGGCCGCACCCCATT